GCTGAATTTTCGAAGTCATATTCGGAGGCAAAAAATGGACATCAGTGTATTGTAAGGTAAGGCCAGCTAGCTTGTGACTGGAACAGTTATCAAGGAGAAGTAATACGCGCTGGTCTTTATGCTTTAGACCAACTTGACAATCGAATTCTTGAAGCCACTCTTGGAAGAGTGACGCGATCATCCAAGCTTTGGCATTATTACGGTATATTATTAGTATAGTTTGGATTCTTATATTTTTAAAGCAATGCGGTCTTTCAAATTTTCCAATAATTAAAGGTTTCAATTTGTGTGAGCCATCAGCATTTGCACACAATGCAACTGAAAGACGTTCTTTGTTCACTTTACGTCCAGCAAGACGTTTGGTTGCAAGCGTTCGATCGGGTTCTAACCTACAAATAATCAATACTCATATAAGATAAGTAATTTTTATTTTAATATTTTTTTTCTGTTTCAAAATTTATCTATAAAAAAGTCCTGTTTCGTCCATATTGTAGATTCTTTCAAGGGGATAGTTAGAACAAAATTCTCTTAATAAGGGTAAAACATTGGCAATAGCAGCTTCATCAGCAGATGAAGCTTCTCCTTCAAGCTTTTATTGGCGAATTCCATTATGATCCTTGAACTTATGGAGCCATCCCAAAGAAAACTGTAATACATTTTGAGAAATATCTAATCCATCGGCAATCATTTTGGCTTTTTCGATAAGTATCGTATCGCTTAAAACTGTTTGATGCTGGTAATTTAAAACGAATTCCTTGAGAGTAAGCTCAAGTTCTGGATAAGTAACTGATTTATGGCGTTTTGAATTTGGATTGATAGTTTCTGAATAAAGTCATTCTTCTGCTGTTTGTAGAATATGAGTAATGGTGCTCTCGTTAACTCTAACTTTCCATTTTTCTTCAATCCAGTTAACATATTGAGCCTGGGTCCTTTTATTATCTTGATCGTAAATACAAAGTTCTCTCTTTTGGATTTTGGAAAGAGTAATTCTTTTGAGAGACATTTTTAGGAGGTATGGCTGATTTCAAATATTATTAAATAATGGTGAATCATCATTCTTCTTTCTTTAATTTGGATATATAACAGAATCTTAGGGGAGTTTGATATATGTTATTTACAAAATATTTTCTGGCTATACTAATTTGGGATAATCGATCAAGCAAAAAATAAAAAATATTCTCACACTTGTAAATACTTTATAAAAAACTTGTGATTTTATTTTTAATAAATGTCATTATACACAAATTTATTTAAATCAAATTATTTCTATTTTATTAAAATTTAACTATGAATAAACGGTTATCAATGATTGGTCAATCGTCACGTGAATGCACTTATGGAAGGTGTTCTAATATACCCAGGACTTGGAATTGCTTGCACATGCAGAACATAGAGGAAGTGCACTTAGCTCTAAGTCCTAAGCTTAGGACTGAGCTATGGTGTGCATATAGAGAGGGTGTGCACTTATAGAGGTGTTACTGTAATCTTGATGAAACTTCTTTCAGTTTTGATTTACCATCTTCAACAACATTAGAATCAAAGGGATCTAAAACTGTTAGTATTAGGTCAACTGGTCATGAAAAAAATTGTTTATAATAGTTTTGGCATGTATGGCAGATGGTATTAAATTAGAACCTGTAATTATTTTCAAATTAAAAATATTCCTCGCGAAATCTTTTCTGATGGAGTTAAAATTCGTGTTAATGAAAAAAATTGGGTTAATGAGAAAGAAATACTTTGGTGAATTGAAAATGTATGGTATAATAGGGGAGGTATAAATAATAATCCAAGAAGTCTTTTGATATTTGATTTTTTTTGTGATCATTTGGTTAATAGTGTTAAAAATAGACTTGATGAAAAACAAACAAATATTGCAGTAATTTCTGGAGGATTAACTGGTAGACTTCAACTATTAGATGTGGAAATCAATAAAATATTCAAATCCAAGGTAAATTTTTTTTTTTTTATGATTATTTTTTTAAAATTTAATTTTATTTAATAATTTTATTATTTTATTAGATTTGCGAATTATATAATGAATGGATGTCTGAAGAAGTTCATGAACTTACTCCTGCTAGAAGAATTAAAAGGCCTGCTTATAATAAAGTAACACAATAGGTTAAGGTTGCTTGGGATAGCATTAATATTGAAAAAATCAAAAAATCCTTCAAATGTTGTGGTATTTCTGTAGCAAAAGATGGCACAGAAGATGATTTTATTTTTGATTATGATTTTCTAAATGATAAAAATGATAATCCAGGTGATAATGTAGTGTTTGAAGATACAATATATGATGATTTTGTTGCTGGTTATGAAAATACTTGGAATTAATTAGTATTAATTTAGATAATGTAAATGTTTGAAAAAAAAATAACTTGCACTTTATTAGTAATAATAAAACTATTTTTTATATTTGATAAATATTTATCATTTTTTATTAATAAAAATTAAAAATTTTATACATTTATTAATATTAACGCGCGGTATCATATATCAATATCAGGTTATAGTACCCAGATACTTTACATGAGGTTTGACATTAGTGATGTATAGTATTCAGGGTCAATGATGTACATTTTCGATGTCCTAAACATTTTGAGATTGTCTCACACTATGTCCTAAAATGTCTCACATTAAGTCCTAATGTTAGAGCTCCTAATGAGTCGAGTCGAGTCGAGTTTTAAAGATAACTCGACTCGACTCAAATTTTATGAGTCGAGTCG